CAGGACCACACCCCTAAATGCATTGAAGCAACTGCCATGTGATTGGTTGATTAGATAATTGCATTAATGAGAAATTCAACAGGTGTTCCTAATAATCCTTTAGGTGAGTGTATATGGTCATCTCATTCTAAATACTGAGGATGGTAATAACCAATATACTGCACTGGAAAAATTTAAGAGACCACGGCAAAATTTTCAGTTTCAGTGATTTCTCAATTTCTGAGTCTGCAGCTGGCTCATCTCTGTTTGTCACTGATGAAGGGGTTCTTACTTCCTTTATAGGTCTTCTGTCCTGCTTCTAGGAGCTTGATATGAACTATCCAAGCAGTGCACTTCACACCACTTAATATTTCCCATTCTTTTTGAAGGTCACTTGATATCATCCTCCGATTAATGAGGCACTGCTGGATAAGTTGACGGTCATCTCTGGCATTAGAAAGTTGCTCCTGCCCTCTACCTGCCTGATTTTTGGTTATTCCCAGTGTCTTCTGCTTTACCTTATTCTTGAGTACTGCTGTCTTTTGAACCTGGAAGCAGCCTGCTGTTCATGTAGCATTGTGCCAGCAGAACCAGGATCAAACCAGGATTTAGCAAAGCAGATTCTTAAAAAAATATGGAGCGGTCTCTTAATTTTTTCCAGAGCTGTATGCATACATCTCTGAACCCTTTATAAAAATGCATAATATATCTCCCATTCCAAATTTATTCTCTTGTTCTTTTAGTAGCCATTTACATATTTACATATAGTTTTTTTCCAAGAATTTGCCATTTGTTTTAATGAATTTTCCTGCTTTTCAATAAGTATTTTTTTATTTATCCTGACATCTTCTGCGACTCCCTGTAGGCCTTTGCCATTCCATTCTCAACAAACGTCTTGGGAGAAATTACAGTGATAAATGTCTTCTTTTGGAAGATATATCCAACTGGCTTGTGCCACAAGAAGATAAAGCACCATTGGAACTGATACTTCTGCTGGCAGATTGCAAGCACATTATTTACATAATTCAGCAACGTATTGGTGGTTACAAATATCTGTGTGCCTTGTGGTAGTTTCATTTTACAGTCACCTGAGGATCTCATTAACCAGTCATAAATATTGTGCTGGCTATAAATGTTGTGCTATGTTCATAGGTTTGTCATAATGAAGGAATCAGGCCAACAGATTTATTGGTGTAACATCTCTAATATTGCAACTGATTTTCCACTGAATATGAATGTAAAACGGCGCGGCTCAAATATTTATGTTACAGGACATACACGGTGTCCTTTTGCATAGCATTGTTTTTTATTAACTTCCCAGGGCTCCTCTGGCCGCTTGTAGAGTAAGCTGTATGCTGTACACTGTATGCTGTACACTGTACCCTATATGCTGTACACTGTATGCTGTACACTGTACCCTATATGCTGTACACTGTACCCTACAGTATATGCTGTACGCTATACACTGTATGCTGTACACTGTATGCTGTACCCTGTACGCTGTACCCTGTATGCTGTACGTTGTATGCTGTACCCTGTATGCTGTACCCTGTATGCTGTATGCTGTACCCTGTATGCTGTATGCTGTACACTGTATGCTGTACCCTGTACGCTGTACCCTGTACACTGTATGCTGTGCACTGTATGCTGTACCCTGTATGCTGTACACTGTATGCTGTGCACTGTATGCTGTACCCTGTATGCTGTACGTTGTATGCTGTACCCTGTATGCTGTACCCTGTATGCTGTATGCTGTACCCTGTATGCTGTATGCTGTACACTGTATGCTGTTCTGTTCTTTTAATTCTCCACTGGCACATTTCTATTGACAGGCGCTTTTTGCTTTAATGTTCTCAGTAATTAGCTGAAACATTTCCATGTCTACTTCTTTTTACAACCTTAAATGAAGAGAAGCCTTCACAGCATGTGGTTAGTTAAAATAAACCATATTTAAATATATAAGTAATTTCACGTTTTGTCTATAAAAATGACATTGTTATCATGGAATAATCAACAGATGATAGGTCTTGCGAGTTTTGGTCTGCATGACCTCTGGATCAACGTTATTGTAAGCAAACACTGAAAATGAATGAAGAGGAAGATACAGAATTCAATTTCTTAAATAAATGAATGAATGAAGCGGTATTAATTTGAGCCTCCGTAGTTTGGGGTTCGAATCCCACCTATTCTGTATTTGTGGGGCAAGCCTGTTCTCACTGTGTCATGTGTGTTACCTCTCAGTACTCTGGGTTCTTTGCGCAATCCAAAGAAATACTGTTTCGTCATAGTGCATGTATTCCCTGCATTGGACAGTTATTAAATACCTAATCAGTCAATCTTTATTTTTATAGCACTGTTTTAACTGCAGGGTTTACAGTAATTGTAATTGCAAGTAATTACAGACATTTTAAAAGAAGGCACAAGAAATTAAAAATAAGCACAAAAGCAATTATAAAATGTGCATAAAATAAATGAATAAAATTAATGATTATCATGGATTATTATACACAGTGGTGAAAAGATGTGTTTTCAGCCTGGTTTTGAAAGTACTAAGACATTCAGCAGCTCTGAGGTTTTCTGGTAGATAGGCTTAAGAGGAGGTTTGCCTACCTTGTGCCCGATGCAGTCTGGGATCCTTTCCAGGACACCCCCTAGCCATGATTCCGCATTAGATAAGCAGGAGACAGAAGGATTCACATCATTTATTGAAATTCCATAAGGACTTAGGAAGTAAACAAGTACAGTACACTATGAATGTGTTTAAGATAAAATTCGAATTTCATCTAGATTCATATGTATAAATAGATATTGCTTGTAGTGACAAACACACAAATTGTATACTCCTCAAACTGCATTGTTATATTATTCAAAAATGTTTCTTTGTGTAAATATTTTATGGTGATAAATGAATAGTCATGGGCTTAAATATATAACTCTAAAGTGGGTAACTCTAAAGAAGTTATGCAGCTGTTTGCTGAGAGACCACAGAATCTGATTAACCTTCAGATTATAAAACCCCAGTCAACCCCAGCCCCTTGTAAATCTCTCTTCTCGATATAGCAGATTTTTATTTTTTTTTGTTTTTTACCCGAAAGTTTTAAAAATGGTTCTCTTGCAGCAATTGGATTTGGAATAGTTTGTAGTTTTTCCATATTTGCTGCTAAGGTTGAGTCTCATTTTGGCATAATAATTGCTCATTGAATTACACAAATTTCATATCTTTTCTCTATATTGATTGTATTTGAGGCAGACTGTGAAGAGCGTATGAGCAAGGAGGAAAACATCTGCCTGCAGTCCTTGCTAATTTTAGAATTTAGCAAAGCAGTGTAACTCATCTTGTGTATTAGCAGCCCAATGCCAACACAGACAGCAGCCCCCTCGGAATCGCTCCATTGTGAGGCAAACATTAGAAGGAAAACATTAGTGTCTCAGGGAGCAACCAGAAGCAGGACAAGGAGCTGCAGGACTAGAGGATTTTGTTGGGAAAAAACAGTCCCTGTCTCCATCTGGTGGATAAGTAACGCTACAGATACAGTATGAATGGCTTTTTTATATATTATATTATCCATCCATGCATTTTCTGAACCTGCTTATAATATAATATAATATAATATAATATAATATAATATAATATAATATAATATAATATGAGATATTGCACATTAGACTACACATTAGGCTGTACAGTAGTGCAAAGCAACCGAAATATCTCCTGTTTCCAATATAAATCAAAAATCCAGGCATTGCCGCTGGTCTCTTTACTTCAGTATATCCATTAATTTGGTTTTCTTACCCATCTATCTACAAAGTAATACAAAAAATGCATGAAAGTAATATACCGATGCATGAAATTAGAGGTCAATGCTCTCCACAGCACATTTTTTAAAGAGTTTTTAATGTGTGTGCGTGTGTGCGCGTGCGTGCGTGCGCGCGCCCGCGCTATTCAACGCTAATGTAACTTTTTAAGGCGTTTTTAAGGCCGAAAGTGGCAAGGAAATGATGCGCAGTTCAGGCTAAATTATGTCCAGCCATACCTACCTAGTGTGATTTTGATTCTACAACGGAAATCATACTGCGACAGTAGGGTTAGATTACAAATATATGACGAGAGACTGATATCTTTCTATAATGTCATTCTATAGTTTTATATGAACTGCTTCTCGCAAATCATGCGGCCAACTCCCAAAAACGCCTTCACTGCGTGCGTTTCACTCTTTCTCGTTTCCATGAATGCGCAGCTCGTGACGTAATGCGCTGACAGCCGCCCGCATCCAGACAGCTCGCGCACCGTCAGCTAGTGCGGATCTGTTTTGCATTTGTTTTTTTTGTTTGTTTGTTTTATTTTGGTTTCTTTTTGTTGTTGTTGTTAACAGTTTTGTTAGCGTTGTCGTTCATTATCCGATAGTATCTAGACTGACATGAAATGAATTCGGACATTTTGTGCTAAATCAGCTACCTGCCTGTGGTGTTCCGGCTAGCGAGGTGCCGCAAATGTCAATGACGCTGAAGTCAAAGGACACCAGCGGCTTGCCGGTCAGACACGGAAATTGCCGTTAAAAGAAATAGGCACTAAATAATTAATTCATATTTTCGACCATTTTGATTTGTTTACTGCCGGAATTTGACCAAACTAAGTGTTTTTCGGCTTTGACGCATAGAGAGTGTCTATCAGCGAATCAGCTACCAGCAGGAAGCAAAGTGTCACTAATAAAAGGGTCCAATATGAAACTGAAGGATGCCAAAAAGACCTGTAAGTCCCTTTTCTGCAAATCCGATTAATATTTGGTATGCACTTTGACGGTACGACCCGGGATTTGCACGTCTTGTTATATCCCACCACCTCCCCCCCCCCGCCAGTGTCTAACGTGAGCTTAGCTTCGAACGGACATTTTGGTGGCTCATCCATTGTTTTCAGCAGCAGTGAGTGATGATGGCGGAAGGGCTGTAAGGGAGCGCTGCCGTAGCTGCGGGGTGCTGATCGCACTGCAATGCTTACTTCTGCCTTTCAAGTATCAATTCTGCGAATTTTGTAGGTCATGTGTAGATATATTTCTTTCTTCACGTGTCAAGAAAATCGGGTACGTGTCTAATATTGCACCAGTGTGAATGTCGCAAGCTTGATAGTACAAGGTGAAGTTAACTGCTGCAGAGCGAATTGGAATGTCTGCTTCCATAGCGATTTAGGCAATTATGTTTCTTTTCTTTTATTTGACATAACTGCTTTTATAGGGTGTCATTGTGTTTTATGCTGTCATTAAAAATATTTTCCGTACATTTCGTATATATGTTTTATTCATGTCTTGGAATGAGGCTACAGTATATATACGACTTATTTCAGTTTTTTAAAGCATTAGGCGTCATCAACAACATTTTACATTCAGTTTGTTACGCGAACACATCAAAATGTTTTAGTGCGAGGTGTGGGCTTATAAAATGTAGAAAAAATGTTTTTCTCTTTTGCATACAATAATTGGAAATGCAATTCCATAATTTTATGTGTATGTATAGAATGCCTTTGTGTGTCTGAATACAAGCTTGTGTTGATTTTCTGTTGCTTACCTGATTTTTCTGATCCATTGATTCTCTTCGTCTTTCACACTGGAAAGAAGATGATACTGTTTGTGGATGTTCATGGATTATTGCTGAACATATACGTCACACTCAGTTGTGTAATTTACAATAAAATGAGACCTAATGCTTGGTGCACTCTGTAGTACAATTTCTGAATGGATAAATCCAGCTCATTCAGTTCCTCAGTCAGAATATCACCAGGAACATCATTGTGTGGTTTTGTATTTTCTTTCTTAGTTCTTCCATTGCTGTCTGTGTGGTCCACCGCCAGATTCACTTGTTTCTAGATAAGGTCATCTTCTGAATAAATGTGAATGCTGTCTAAACCCTATTGTCCTCCCTCAAAATATACTTGCATCCAGTAAAATTTGTGTTCCGGAAGATGCCGTTTACATGACAGCGAAAATAGGCAGTAAAAACTTCATTCTTATTTGCTTGAAATTTTTTTTGCACTGGTTCCATGAGGGTCATGTGTATTATAAGCATCTTCTCTATATGGTGTCATTTAAGTTTAGTTGTCATATGTCTTTACAGTTGGGAAATAAGTGCTTAAATAAATTGAAATTGATTTGCCGTTTTAGAGACAGTGTACTGATTTATTTTAGGTGAAGCCACTATGGATTGCGGTGGTACAGAGCTGGATTTCAGTATTGGCTGTCCCAGAGAAGTTTCATAGATTATAGAATTGTGATGCTGCTAAGATTGAAATTTCATTTTCTATGTATTTTCTTGGAACTGAACTTCCTGTTCCGCCTGTAGCTTTCCCATGGTTCGGAATGGACATTGGGGGTACCTTGGTGAAGCTGGTCTACTTTGAGCCAGTGGATGTGACAGCAGAAGAGGAGCAAGAGGAAGTGGAGTGTCTGAAGAGCATCCGCAAATACTTAACATCCAACGTCGCTTACGGCTCGACGGGCATTCGTGACACCCACCTGGAGCTGAAAGGGCTGACAGTACATGGCCGCCGTGGGAACTTGCACTTCATCCGTTTCCCTACTCATGACTTGCCAACCTTCATTCAGATGGGCCGAGACAAGAACTTCTCCACCCTGCATACCGTGCTCTGTGCCACTGGTGGGGGTGCCTACAAGTTTGAGGAGGAATTCCGCACGGTGAGGTCTGCCTGTTTGGTGGCACAGTCATTTATCGTTTGTATCTTTTGTGGTCTGGGAGGATGGAATTGTCTATCAAAGAAATGACGTGTGCATTTTTTTATATCACTGAAATTTGGTTTTATATATTTTGTGCAAAGTGGTGTATTTCAATATTACATCAACTATGAACTGTACATACAGATTTACCATTAGATCCTTTGTTTGGGGTTAGCTAACTAAATGCCATTTCTTTCCTGTACAGATTGGAAACTTGCAGCTGCACAAGCTAGATGAGCTCGACTGTTTGGTAAAAGGGTTGCTGTATATCGACTCCCCAAGCTTCAATGGTCAAGCAGAGTGCTATTATTTTGAGAATGCCCTGGACCCAGAGAGATGCCGAAAGATGCCTTACAACCTGCAAGACCCCTACCCATTGCTAGTGGTCAACATTGGTTCAGGGGTCAGCATACTGGCTGTCTACTCGAAAGACAACTATAAGCGTGTGGCTGGCACTAGGTATTCATTAAGGCATTTATTAGTTTATGCAATAATAATCTGATCAGCAGATGCTACACGGCAAGTTTAATTTTGATTACAAAATAGCCATTTATTATATATTTGTGTGATGTACTGGAGCAAATTCATGTTACATGCATTTTCACGTGTAGAATATGCACTATGCTTCAAGCCTCTGCAAAGCTTTATTCAGTTTGGGCTAGTGATTTTGATAATAAAGTTGTTTTTTTATTACAGGTGACAGTTGAAAATTAAGTTGGTTGGGAATTCTTCTTAAGCCGAGCATTCATTCCAGAATTAAATTGTGCAGTTTGTAAAACATGAAATTTTAAGCATATAGTAATTGCATAACTAAACTTTGAAAGGAGTAAGTGGTTTGAGTTATGGGCAGTGGTACTGCAGATGGTGATTACTAAGATACATTTTGCCTTGTTTCAGCCTTGGGGGTGGGACCTTCCTGGGCTTGTGTGGCCTTCTGACAGGCTGTGAAAGTTTTGACGAAGCCCTAGAGCTGGCATCCAAGGGAGACAGCACACATGCAGACAAACTAGTGCGTGACATCTATGGTGGGGATTATGAGCGCTTTGACTTACCAGGATGGGCAGTTGCTTCTAGGTGAGAGAAACATTATTTTCATTTCCATATATTACTTTAGTTTAATTCACCTTTCAACAGTATATTCTTAATTAATTTTTTTTTTAAATATAACTATTTAAATAACCTAGCTTTGCAACATTAAAAAATTTGAAACATGAAAGTCAAGTTTAATATTGAATCTTTTTTTTGTGCAGAATGGCCAGAAAAGCAACTCTTATAATAAGTTGTTAACATCCATTTTCCAGCTTTCTTTCAGTGAAATAGGAGGGAGAGAATATACATTTTGTTCATTTTTTTCCTGTAGTATTCCTATATTATCAGTTTGACAGCATTTTATAAATTTATTAGAGAGAAAACAAGCGGCATTTTAAAGATCTATACCTTTATCCAGAACTTTCATAGGGTGTCTATGGCTTTGTATAGGTATCCCTAAACCAACAGACTGTCTTTATGCAGGCAACTAACGTAAGAAATCTGTTCATAAAACTCAATTTATGTGAGTCAGATTTGCCTTCCTATACTATTCAAGCCACCTTTTAGCAAAAAACATATAAGCCAAATATGTATTAGTAATATGTAATAAAGAACAGATGTTAAATAGATGAAAAGATAAAGTGTAAATTACCGTACTGGCAAATGTCACCTTCTGTAAACATGTGGGTATGGGTCCAAATTTATTTAAGTCAGTTTTACATAAGTTGAGAACTGCCGTTAATTAATTTTATAATTAATCTGAAATCAAACTCTGATTCTTGTCAACATTTAGCATGTCTGGTGCTATTTTGTCAGAACTACTGGTACTGAGGTAAACTGATGTTTTTATATTATGTTATTATACTGTAAAGAATATAAAGGTATTAATCACTGGTGTCTTCGGCTGTTTAGTGCTGTTGTTAATTACATTTTCAAGGTTGAAGAGTGAAGGAAATAGTGGAAATAGTCTTAAGGTTAAAGTCATCAGTCTGGTGCTGTGGAGTAAAACGTTTTCTACTGTTTGTGCCTCGCAGTTTTGGCAACATGATTTACAAAGAGAAACGAGAAGCTGTCACAAAGGAGGACTTAGCCAGAGCCACCTTAGTTACCATCACCAATAACATCGGCTGGATTGCGAAGATGAGTGCGGTAAATGAGGTGAGAATTCCAGATGAATCCCGTACATGTTTTCGTGTATGTGATGTATGTTCCATAAGAGCTTAACGGGTTAACATCATAGGTTCTTCAGTTGCTTCAGGTGTTAATGAAACTACAGGGTCAGTCCAATCTGGTCGTCTAATAAACGTATTGGTTTGTCTTAGCACAACACATTACGTACTATTGTTATTGACTGTACTTCTTTACCTGTACATAACATTGTATTATATCTGAAGATCGAAAGGGTAATGACATTTCCTTATTTTGCCATGGCGTGCTGTGAATGGTCAGTCTCCATGAGGGTTTGCACCTCCTTCAAGTTTGCGGTTGATGATTTCTTTGCTGTCGGCCTCTTTACAGTGCTGCCTTGTGGCTTGTGAATCAAGCAGCATTGTACAGGGCTATGACAGCGGTGAGATATGGCATCATCACTAGCTTCAGTAGAATTGCCTCCTCACACATGCCTAAAGTTTCTCCTGACATACAATATCAATACCTTCCTCATCCTGTTGACTAATGTGTTGCGATTTGCATTTTATTTATCACTATGTAACGGCATCTTGATATTATGTTGCCTAGAAAATCAATCGGGTGGTGTTTGTGGGCAATTTTCTACGTGTCAACACATTATCCATGAAGCTTTTGGCTTATGCACTGGATTACTGGTCACAAAGCCAAACAAAGGCACTTTTCCTTGAGCATGAGGTAAGTCATTTTATTTAGTTTTTGTTAGCTTGTTACTTTAGACAAATGTTTCAGTTAGTCTAAGTAAACCTGTATTAACTATACCATTTTTGTTGTAATGTTTAAGGAACAAGTTAATATTAAAGCAACACATTTTCGATAATCTTAAGGGCTTGAAAAGGAGGCAACTGGACTTCATTATTTCCAATTTCTTGAAAACATTTCACCTCCCATGCGAAAGGTTTCTTCAGTTCTTCTCCAGAAGCCTTTTGGATAGAGGGGAAACGTTTTCAGGATATTGGAGAAAATGAAGTCCAGTTGCCTTCGATTCAGGCCTTTAAGATTATCCTGTGCCGGACAACTCAGAACCTACACAGACAGAACCTTTTATTTGGTTTTATTACCTTTAAAAATGATTGACTTAGCCAAAATTAATGGAGAGTATAGAAAGTATGGATATGAAGGGAGCCCTTGTGTTAGTTATTTCTGGGGAAAATACAAATCAATTTTATCTTCTTGCTACTGCAGGGCTATTTTGGGGCAGTCGGTGCCCTTCTCGGGTTACTGAATTTTACCTAGAGCCGCTACTTCGATCCCACATGCTGATGATGCCAGTCTTCGTCGTCAGTTTCGTTTAGCTACCAATCCTGTACCTCAGAGGCTTTAAACTAAATCAAGGTGAAGAAACGAAGGTGGTCCAAGTGGAAAAGGGTGTAATTACGTAATATATAAAGTCACATTTGAAGACCATTCCTGCTATCACTCACTGTCTGAACACAACCTCTTCTTGGATTGTTATTCTGACCATTTTTTCCACATAATTGCATTAAAACAAGTGGATTTTGCTTGTAATTGGTAAGCTGCAAACATAAAATTATATTTTATTTTTTAAATTCAAAAATTGTATAAAATGATCAATATTTCATGGACTTGAGTACATATTATCTCTTTATTTTTTGCCTTATTCTTTGGGAAGGGTGCACTTGACGGGGGAATTGAACAGTATAATTTATTTTCCCTCAGAGAAAACAAAGAATGTTGTGTTCTACACTTGAATGATGACAAATGTGCATTTTGTAGCAATTTTTTTGCATTACCTATTCGAAATTTTCTATTGTACCTGTAATTGTCAGTTTGTGGGGAATTAAACCAAGCCTAAGACTCTTTTTTTTAAGGATTAAAAAGTTTGGCTTTAACCAAAACTACCAGAATTTTACCAGTTTTTAAAAAATACTTCTGAATGTGAGTACACTGATTACATAAATAAAAAGTAACTATATTAAAGTGTACTATATGCTACTATTGAGCTTAACATATAGGACATGCAAGACTGTAGTAAAACCAATGAGAACGATTTTTTTTTTTTTTTTTGCACTTAATATAAAGTTTTGATTGGCAGTGTCCACTAACAAACTGTATAGGTGTACTTACCTCTTTCTCATAAATATAAACATACGGTATCATGGCAGGCTGAAAAAGGTTGGGTAAATTGAAACAGCTTTTAAATTATAATGTCTGTGCTTTTTTGAGAAGCGGTTGTATCTTTCTTAATCGCATAGCTGCTGTTGTATAATTTGAAATAAGAGCTGAAATTGTACAAATGTGAATGGTGGTGTTTCTGTTCAGCGGTGCCTTAATTTCACCTGCTTTACACACATCACACATTGCCAATCCAACCTTTGCCGAACATACATAATGCCTACCTCATGTAAACTCATACTAATCCAGTTTCAGTATTCCTGTAGGATAAGGATGAGTGCACTACTGTATTTCCATGAACATGTGCAATTCAGTTTGTGGAATCACTGTACTGTGAGCAGATGAGAAACCATACTGTGGCATTTGTTATTTAAATGTATTAATATTTAAAGCTGGCGCTCGTTTTGGTTGTCAGTATCAGATTTTTGCTGTTTGCATCATCGTGTTTGTCAGATGTGTGGACAGAACTGGTACATTCTGTGTTTAACAATGGTCCATTGGTTTCCTTATGCTCTTTGTTAACAGTACTGTACCTTACCTCATTCCTCTGTCAGCTGTGATGTAGTGACTCTATAAATTGTAATTTCTCCATCTCATCTCACACGTCTTAATGGGGCACAAAACCTACCAAAAAGAAGCATAACAGATATGTTTTAAATGTCTTGAATGAGAACTTCAGTTAAAATTAATCTGGTAATGTATCTTTTTTTGTTTTTCAGTTTTCATTTAAATAACTGCCTTGTTTCAGCCTATTTGCATTCTGCTTCCTCTGTTTAATCTGCTTGATTGTGGGAGGGTTTAAATTATAATAAGGCTAGGGAAAAAAACATAGCTTACAAAAGTAAAAGTACAAAGTAACATCATGTAATATCCACTTTTCCTCTCCTATCCTGTGTAGCTTTGATTAAGTTTTGTATTACTTTATATGGGTGATATTTTGAACTTTTTTTTTTTTTAACTTGGGTGATATTCAAAATACCATGAGGGGAAAAAGAATACTGAGAATAATCAGTGTAGGCCTAATGGATTATATATTGGTTACTTACAATATATACATCTTAAAGCCATAATGACTGTGTAAACTTGATTGGATGCCTTTAGTACCTAGAGATCCTCCAATAGATTCAGTCTCAGCAGTTAAAATGATGTTAATGCAAGTGATCCTTAATTTTAACTATTATGTAGATAAAGCTAAATTATTCATATCTTTTAGATTGTGTACCCAAATTCTGTTTTTAGGCTCAGAAGTCTTTGCATATCTTTGTTTTGTCAAGGTGAACAAAGTTTCCAAAATGACTAAAGGGATTTAGGAGTCTTAGTTAATTAAATTACTTGTAATCAGGATTCTTATAAGTTTAAGTTTTAATCCATACCTTAAGCCTAAGTCTTATTAAATTGCTCTTAGGTTCACTTGTGTATTTCATTAACACTAAGTGGCCTATGTTAATGCAAAGATATTCACACTAATGTTTATTTTTTTACATAATAGACTTCAGTAAAATTAACCATGTTTGTGTATTTTTTGCAGAATTAAAAATTTCTGAACATATTGTATAATTTTCCCAGTACCCTATCTTGTTTGTCTGTCTTTTTTTATAATGAATAACAATACTGATTACCAGTGATGCCTTTCATTAATGTCGCATTGTCATTGCCAACTGTACTGTTTGAAATTCTGTGGCATTTTCATCTCCATGTTGGTTTGCTGTAAAGCCTGTATGCACTGTATTTTCGGTACTTTGGAAATATAAATTGTACTAAATTTGTGTTAACTACTTATTTTTCTTGAAAAAAATAAATCAATTCATATTCTTCCTGACTTGTGTGAACATAAGGAAATCCTATTTTTTTTATCAAAGACTAACATTTGATTGAAGAGATTTTTGAAGAACAATGTGTGAGAATTTAATTGGAGACAATGGGAAAAATCTAACAACATTCCTGTTAACAGTTCAGACAATTATGGACTGGCAGTATGCTTCACTTGCAGGTGAATTGTTTTCCCTCCTTATACATGATGTTTCTGTAATTACTCCTTGCTAAATCATTCTATGTCACACATATAGTATAAATATTTTTCCCACATTTTGAAACCAATTGAAACAAAATGTATTGTTCAAAGTGAGACGCAGCAATGAGTCATATTTATAAATGGATCAATATTTTAGGCAGGAAACGTAATACAAAAAACAACAGAAAAAAACTTGGCTGGAGCCAATCTACTGGGCTCTTGGGGAGCTGGTATTGTCCCTCACACAAATAAAACAGTGTCCTGGCATGAGAACTGGCAGTGTCCAAATATATGTATAGCACATTCAACAGACATGTTTCAAAATGTTAGATGGGAAAAGATGGAATCGTTCAGTACGTACATGGGAAAGAAAGCAGCATATGCCAGGTGGACTGAACATGTGAAAATGCTTAGAGGACAGGTGGCAAGACAGCTGAAGCCACGGTGATCAGCGATGAACTGGCCGTAGGCCGGAGAGACTCAGGACACCGCTGAGTTCCGCCACAATGAAAATGCTTCAGTTAGGATGGGGTTTATACTGAGAATTGCTTGAATGATACAAGGAAAGACATGGAGAGAATCATTGACCTGGAAATTTGTCTTTTTCTGACCTGACAACATTAGAAAGCAATAGATAGAAATGATCAATTTCGTTGGCTGTGGCTTCTGTTTGGGAAGAGGTGCCTGTCATTCACTGAGATGGCAAAAAGGGCTTAGGAATGACATGTCAAATTGGATCAGGGGAGGGAAAAGGAATCCTCAGTGTTGCTTGTGAAAAGGTCAGAGAAACATTAGCCAAATTTAAGCCTGCCCATTTCAGTAGCTTAATATGTGGTACCATTTGCATACAATATAGCAGCCAATTCCCCCAAAGTGACTTATACTTTTCTGAGAAATTAGGGTCAGACAGTAGGTCGATAGGGACCTTGCTCAGGTGCCAACAGTGACATCACTCTGCTGACCATAGGATTTGAATCGGCAACCTTCTGATCACAGACATAGGTTCCTAACCCACTGAGCCACACCCTACCCTCATACACGCCAGCTCACAAAAATTGCAGGTAATGAAGAGGAAGTATTTGAAATTTAATTTGAATTTTAAGTTGATATTTATAAGGAAAGGTTGCAGGTTCGATGCAGATTTGGTATATCTTTCAGAAAGATTATTGACAATGATTCAGGAGCATAAATGGTATAAATTTGGATGAAGAATATACAGGTTTACAGCAGGTGTAGACAAACCCTGATCCCAGTGTGCCGGTATCCAACAGATTTTTTATCGTACCTGGTCTCTGATGAACCACTCCTGATCTCAGACAGATATTAGCTAAACAGGTAGGATAGAAAACCTGCTGGATAGTGGCACTTTTGGATCAGGGTGTCCTGCCCCAGGTTTACAGCATGAAGTCCCATTGAAGGTGGGATGAGATCCTGGTTTTTGGCTTCATCTGTCTGTGCACCTAAAACAAAAAAAGGACTTGTGTACCTAAACCCAGAAAAATTCTCTTTGACAACCTTTTTCTTGCTTCCTGTTTTCCACATAGACTTTACTACTGTTAACCTGTTGGAGATATTTGAACAGCAGAGGGCATCCGTGAGGCAAATCTGAGTAGCTAAAATAGTCACATATTCTTTCCAGATTACACAAGCGATGACTTTGTCACTGAATAAATTAACCCGGGGGGATTTTTTTAGTCACAGACATAGAGGTTCATAATAAATTAATGTCTGATGAAGCTGATGAGAAAACATAATAAAAATTTAATTGATAAGTCAAGTCGTGTTAAATGAGATTCAAGTATATAAATAAATTGTGTTGATGGCACATAGAAGATTTTTTTTTACTTTCTTTTTTTTTTTTCCATGAATAGTTTGGCTTATTTGATGCTTTTAACAGCTTTTAGAAAGTCGTATCGTTTTATATGGTGCCTCAGCATGCTGCCATAGCTCATCTGAGTTGCTTGCCTTGCAGATTCTTATGGGTGTGGCCCCATACACAGCGAGGATATCTGTAGGGACAGTGTTGAATTATAACCCTGCACACCCCTCTAGACAGACAAGTACATATATATAGGGTTATTTTCAGGATAATTTGGATTTTCTCTTAGACAATGTGCTGTATTTTAACTGCTTTCCTGCCTTAAAAAATAATAATGTGTAGAAATCAAAATGGTATATACTGATTTCAGCTGGGTTATACCCCAGCCAGACCCTCACTGGTTTAGCTGAATCCTGTACAGGTAGTACTGAGTCCATTGTATTGTACAGTATATTAGCTTTTTAAAATATAATCCCCGGGTTGTTATTTTTTACCATTCCAATAAAGCAAAAAGAACATGCATAAGGAATAAACAGAAACTAGGTGAAGTGTAATATGGGCCTTTTCATTGAAATGAATAGGCCCATAATTATCTGATACTGGGGCATCTAGTTATTTTATTCAGCTCTAATTTCTCACTACAACTGAAAAAAAATTAATAATAATAATAATAATAATTGAAGTGTCTTTTAAATGGATTTAAACACTGGAACTTTAGAATGTTATTTTTTTACCCATTACATTAAAGAACTAGTCAAATGTAACATAGAAAATTATAATATAGGAATGCTTAAAATTCAGCAATAAGCAAGCTAGCATTAATCTAATTTATGGCCACAGATTTGAACCCTGATGTGCCGACACAGAAGGTTGCCATTTGAAATCCTGTGGTCACTGCTGAAGTCACATTCCCACTGGGCCTTTATGAAGGCCTTTGCCCCTAACGTCTCCCACTGGGCCTTTATGAAGGCCTTTGCCCCAAACGTCTCCCAGTGTGCCAGTTAAAATGCTGACCCTGCTCTCTATCCTCTAGTTTTTTCTCACCTGTATTGCGATGGCAATAAAGGCAGTATATTCTATTTTGTCTTCTCGTGTCGTGGGATTTTCCTCTGTGTTCTGTATTCCTACCTGATCCAAAGACATCCAGTTAGGCAAATTAGCTTCTCTTATTCATAGTGTGCGTGTGCATGTCCTTCAATAGACTGGCATGTTCTCTTGTTGATTGCCCTATACTGCCTGAAATAGGTTCTGGACTAGAAAAGCATTTGGATATGTGTTGGAAATCCAAAGTGCACCAGTGGGGGATAATCAGGCTGATGGGAACCATCGCTTCAAGAAAGGCCAGTGGAGCATGGCTGCTAACCAATGACTGCCCCAACTGGGGGGGGTGGGACAAGTGTTTTGTGACAGGACTTAAAGCCAAAGGTGGAAAGAAGCCAAGAGAGAACGAGAAGGAACTGGTGTGCGGCAGACCGAGCTGGTTGTGTCACCACCATCTGAATGGTGGAAATGCACTGAGATACCGGTGTTCTGTGTCGATTATCTGAAGGGAAAAAAGGGCATATTCTATATGTTACGCATTATTTGTAGCATTGCACAGTGCGATTTATCGATGCATTCCTAATATCTTGGACATTGTGTGCTTCTGCTGGTGGATACTGGAGGATGACCATCCTGAACAGACCGTTGCTTTAAAACAGACCCCTTTTTTTATGATTTTACATTGATCCCTCAATAAACCTCACAAGAGCCAATTATCTGCACCTTTGTCTCCTGAATCTCCTTGTCTGCCACACACACACCGCAGCTGATCTGCGGGACTTCACCTGTGAAATGGAAACCGCTGCCATAACAGCAGGTCAGTGCCATTCCGGGTGTGACCTCCCAGGTCCTCCTGTCCATCTCTGCCCAAGCCTTGAACGCTGAGACCTTGGTCCTTGCGAGCCCCACCTCTTCATACCTGGAGCTCCCCTGCTCAGTCAGCCCCATAGCCGTACGTTTACATTTATTTGCATTTATTTATCTGACGTTTTTATTCACAACTTCCTATAAGGCAGAAATGTAAAGAGAACCAAAACAGCGCATATCCATGGGATAAGCCTGGGCCTACAAACCCCAGTTCAGTTTCAGTTCAGTTTATTTTATTTGAAATTCCGCACGTGATGATTCCCTACAGTATGTCCTCTTTGCAGTCCGTGAAATTCCTCAAGCTCACACGGGATTCACCCTATTTGAACCTCTCTTCCTGCAGTGATCCCAGAACCTGCTGTAAGTGGCAAAGGAAGCCTGGGAGAAACAGCCCTCACTGGTGATAGTGAAGCACATCTTAAAGCCCATTCTGGGAAGAAGCCAATGGAAAAGGAAAAGTGGAACCAGTCATGCATGTGCGTTTCTGTGGGTGGATGTGGGAGGACAGCTGCCCTCAAGGGACCAGCGCCCCCTACCTGCAAGGGAAGGTAGGCTGAGAAGGAGAAGGAATGGCGGAGGAAAAGGAATGGTGGAGGAAAAGGAGTGGTGGAGGAAAAGGAATGGCGGAGGAAAAGGAATAGCGGAGGAAAAGGAATGGCGGAGGAAAAGGAGTGGCGGAGGAAAAGGAGTGGCGGAGGAAAAGGAATGGCGGAGGAAAAGGAATGGCGGAGGAAAAGGAGTGGCGGAGGAAAAGGAGTGGCAGAGGATAACCTCCTGAGCAGCCCATCATCTCGTAACAGAACCGTGTTGGTATGGTGTTTTTTCCCCCTATACAATTACTCCACAGTAAAATAAATAAATAAATTCCATAGTTTCTCATATATTATGCAAAAAACTAACTTTAGCAAAGACATTTACTTTTTAATAGAGATGCTATAAAAACGAGGTCTTCATTTGACACATACAAACTTGCTGCTGCAGATGTTTTTTACAGACACTGGATCTCAGCATAGTGCCTTTGGCAATCGTAGACAAAACATTGTTTGCAGAATTTATATAGCACTGTCTCTTGAGACTTGCA